GGTTGCTATATGTGATATTTATACAGCAACTCCATGACATACAACAATGACAAAGGCCCATATATTGTACTGAACACTATGTGTTTTATCTTAATTTCACAACAAAACAGTCTCAAAGGGGTAAAGTGTCATATGGCAGCAATGATATTTTTCCTCACTTTTCCAATACTGTCACAGAAATGAAACATGTCATGAAAATGAATACGATAAGGCAAGAGAAGTAAATTCGAGTGCCACAAGTAATATAGTAGGTTTTGGCATCATTTTATTCTTAGTAGTAATTTTTTTAAGCTACCAGTCATGAGCCAGTGACAGTTTGCACAATCGGTGAGCTACAACGGAAAATCCATTATCCAAGACACTCCAGAGTCCACATTTTATTTTGGAGAAGTAATAAGCACAGACATGAAGAAGAAATCAGGCAAAAAGCCCAAATAAAACAAAGCACTAGACCTCAGATAAATTTAATACCAGGCAATTCCTGCCTTTCACCACCATGCCGTCTCAAAAAGCACATCATAAATTCTCATAGAAGCAGTTTTGTATCTACTAATCTGCATCCAAAGTGGCAGGAGGAGACTTACAAACTAAAACCCAGTGGAATAAACCAAATAGAGTTCACCAGCAGAGAGGGGAGGCATCAGTGCTACTAGGCATTTCATGTGAGCTGACAACTATGCCAGAGCATTACATCATCCCTTAAGTTTTCTGGCAGTTATTCTGGCACATTATTGATTGACTTCTTACTATGTTAGATGGAAATCTTCAGCCTCTCATATACCTCTTTCCTCCCTATTTTCACAATGTAATCATTTTACTTTTTTCTGTTCTTTCATATTCATCATGGTTTTCACTGTTAATACCTTGCAACTATTACTTACTGAAGAGCTAAGTACGGAGATGATGCATTTTCTTTCTTTTACAACTTTTCTTTTTTTTTTTTTTTTCCTGTGATTTGGGTGAAAGTTTACAGAGCAAATTCACTTTCCATACAGAAGCTTACATACACTTTGTCCAATGACATTGACTGCAATTTCCCGCAATGCAACAGCTCCCCTCCCACTTCTTCCCCATAGTCACATCTTCTTCTTTCCTTCCTTCCCATGCACTCCTGCCCCCGAGCTGTCTCCCTGTGCATACACAGCCCTTCTATTCTTCCATGACTGTTCTCTCAAAGGAGCGTATCTGCCTAATATAAATGTTCACCTTATATGCCTGTCTTTTGTTTGGCTGGAAGCCACAGAAGTGGGTTCAATTTCAGACCTGAAGGGCAGTTATGGGCCATAGTCTCAGTGGTTCCATCATGCTCTATCAGACCAGCCAACCTGGTCCTTTTTTAAAAAAAAAAAAAATGTTTTTCAGTTTTGTTCCAAATTGTTCTCCCACTCTATCCAGGATTTCCTACATAGATCTCCCTCTGAGTGGTTAACAGTGGTTGCCGGGCACCATCTAGTACTTCTGGTCCTGTGGTCGTATTGGCTGAGGATCGCATGGTGTACCAGTCACTTGGACTAATTGTTTCCATGTATCTTTGGTTTTCTCCATTCTTCTTTGCTCTGGATGAAGAGAGACCCATCATTGCATCTAGATGGCCACTTGCAAGCTTTTAAGATCCCAGTTGCTGCTTGCCAAAGTAAGATGTGGAACGATGTTTTCATGTAGTATGTTACACCATTTGAGCTTGATGTTACCTGTGACTATGGTCCTGAGCCCACATTTCAAACTACTTAATCCCTCTGGGTAGCTGGCTGTAGCCAAGAAGTGACTACAACCTTGTCCCTTGTCAGCTCT